CGCGCGAACCGTGCCAAGGCGGAACGCATCAGGATATGGGCCGAGGGCGTCCGTGAGCCAAGCGGGCGAAAGGCGGCCATATACGCACGAGCTGCTGATAGCTCGCCCACGGCGTATCTCCGCACGCCTACCACTCCTGACGATACGCAACTCCACTGCGACACCAACGCCTTCAATCCTGACGAAGCTTGCACGGACGACAGCGACGCTGACACCGAAGCTGGCGGCTTCAGCCCCGGCGACGGTAGTTCGCCCGACACGGACAGCGACGAAGACACACCCGTGAACCACCACCTGCGCAAGTCCCCGACATCCTCCCTGCCAACGCCATTGTTGCCAACATCAAGGACATGCTGAAGCTCATGGTCGACACCTGGGAGCCCATCTTGGGCAGGTACCGTGCACGTGCGGGACATGATGCCGAAGCCATGCCGACGTGGGCCGACTTCTACGACGAGTACCGACAGGAGCTGCCTACGCCATCACCAGCTACCCCTTTTCCACCTCACCGACGACCAACTCATCCACTTCATTCGCACCCGTTCACCGAGACGCGCGGGGGGTCTGGACGGTTGGACTACTAAGGAGGCAAAGGAGCTTCCCGACGACATTCTTCGCCTCTTCGCCAGCGTTCTACGAGCTATGCAACGCACTGGCACCATCCCAGAACCCCTCCTCCACGACCCAAACCCGTGCCTCCGAAAAGGCCGAGGCGAACTCCCAACGGACCAACGACTTCTCTCGGTGCTTTCCGTTTGGATGTACGCGTGGGAAGCACCAGCTTACCGCAGCCTCACGGAATGGCGGAAAGGATGGACCCACGCCACGAGTTTTGGCGCTGTCCCCAAAGCTACCATTGTGGACGTCAGCACTTCTCTCGCCCTTCGCATCGAACACGCCAGAGCCCTTCTCCTTCCCTTGGCTGGAGCTGCCCTGGACCGTCAGAAGTGTTTCGACTATCTCATCACGGACATATGCCTAAACCTCGCGCTTCACGCGGGGTGTCCCCAAGACATCGTTACTGTCCGCAGAAACTTCTACAGGCGCCACAAACGTTACATCCGCATGAACGGTGCGTACTCGAAGGAACTGGCCAGGACAAACGGTCACCTCCAGGGAAGCTCTTGGTCCCTGGACGACATTAAGCTGCTCATGTGCGTCTGGACCAAGAGACAGCATCGTTACGTGCCGCGGTCACTCAGCACTACTTTTGTTGACGACAGCAACTCCACTACCCACCCCGCGCCCGAGTTGCAGAAATCTCTTGATGAAACCGCCAAGTTTGATCGATTTTCTGGTCAACGCATTCATCCTGGAAAAGTGGCGGGGTGGGCGCTTACTGACTAGCTTCACACCGCCGTTACCCAGCTCACCTTGGCGGAACGGCCCTTACGCGTGGTCGACTCCTTCAAGCTCGTCGGAAGTTACATCAACGCCGAGGCAGCGCCGGCTCCAGCCGCGCTCAACCTCACGGCCACCGCTGACGCCCGTGTTCGCAGGGCGACTATTCGCCTGCCGCGTATTGGCAAGCTCCCATCTCCGATGCGTATTAAGGCGCGGCACGCCCGCTCCCTTGCTGCCAGCGTCTGTACCACGGGCACTGACATCAAAGCCCCATCAGGCCCCGTCAAAACTGCCTACAACCATGCCCTTAAGGCGGCTATCCGCCCCAAGGGAAACAGGTGGGTCGAGTTTTGGACTCTCATGGCCGTGTGCGTCCCAGGGCACGCCCTGGAGATTGACGCCCTTATGCAGCGTGAAGTCTTCCTGTGCCTGCGGCGACAGGTCAACCGCGACGCCACTCTTTGCGGCCTCGTCAGGGATCACCAACACCATGTCCAGACCCTTTTTGGCGGAGGACCTGTTGGACGACTTGTTCAGACGCTTCAGCAGCTCCGTTGGACTTGGCCCACATTTGGCACCATGAACGACGACTGGGGCTGTCAGATCAGTTGGCTGAACCTTCCCCAAAACGCCTTCCTTCACATGCTGCGCGCCTCGCAACGCAGAGCCTTTCTCAGAAAAATCAAGCCACGGCGTCATGACCTTTGTCACCTTGCTTCGGTCAGACAGGGCCTCGACCTTTTCGCCAGCACGTGGCTCGCCCGCACCAAAGGAGCTGCCAAATGCAACGCATGGCAGCTGGCGCTCCTCTTAAATTACCTGTCGGGCGGGGACCACACCCAACAGCGACGTTCTCGATCCAATACGTCCGCTGATCCCAGCCCTATTTGCCGTTACTGCGATGAGGAAGAGGAAACACAGGAGCACACTGTGCGTGACTGCAAGTGCTGGGCCCGTGAAAGAGTCCCTCTCACCAACCTCATCAGTGACGAGCAGTGGGCACGTCTTCCTCCGCACACAAGACATTGCGGGCTCTTCGATGAGGACCCAGCCCTCCTCGATCTGCAAGCCGACCTCGCGAGGGACCCGCTACCTCAACCCATACCGCGGCCCCCGCCTGAGGGAGATCCTGCGGCTTCAGCCCAGGACTCCTACACCACTTACCTCGACCACGACACTGGTTGGACATGGGTCTACGCGGCCACGGACGGTGCATGCACCAACCAAGCCATCCCTTTGCTTGCAAGAGCGGGCTACGGCGTCTACTACGGCATCGACCACCGCATGAACTACAGTGCGCGCGTGCACGGCATCACGCAGAACGCACAGCTTGCGGAGACCCTCGCCATTGTCCACCTCACGGCATGTGCTGAACGGCCCGTACACGTCTTCGTGGACAACCAGGCGGTGGTGGACGGCTTCCAAAGGATCATCGACGGACACTCACCTCCGCAGGGCACGCACGTGGAGTTCTGGGAAAAGGTCCACCGATGTGTCATGGCCAAGCCAAACATGTTCCGCGTAGAGAAAGTCGCTAGCCACCAGGGCGACACGGGCATCGTCCTCGGGCTCATCGGGCCCATCGCGGAGGAGTTCAATCGTCAGGCTGACGCCCTCGCCACAGCGGCGGCACGTACTCATAACCTCCCAGACGACATCGGTGAAGCTGCCAAAGCACGACACCGCCAAGCGACCGTGCTCCATGGAGTCGCCGTTGCCATCTACGAGCGGAGACATCGTACTCTTCCTCTCCCACACCGCAGGGCTGGGTTCACAGCTGCAGAACTAAACAAAATGGAACCAAATCCCCTGCTGTCTGACCAGGCTCCACCCGTGGCTGGACCAGACATCCCACAAAACCCCGACGAGCTCTGGGCCGAGGCCCAACGGGGGTTATTCGACGAACAGGAGGACGACCCGTTCGGCTTTGGTGGAGGTTTGGACTTCCTGGGCGACGAGTCAGCCAGCGCCAACCCTGCCCCGGCGGGCACCCGCACGGCGCCCCCGACTCCGCCATTGAGTGCGTCAGCCACCCACATGACAACGCCGTTCCTTTTCAAGACGCTGATGAGCAGGACGATGACCTTTTCAGCCTCGGTGGGGGATCGGACGCTTTGGACGACGGACCAGCCAACGAAAGCCCCGCCCCGTCGGGAAACCTCGCAAACCCTACTGCGACGCCGTCCCCAAGAGCGTTAACGCCCACATACGATGATATCGGTCACCGCCAGGACGCCGACCACGACCCGAGTGGCCCCCGAGGATTGGGTGGCATTGAGGACGCACCGCCGACACCACACGCTGCCGACCATGCCGCCCCACCGAGTCACCAACCCTCTACGCGACCGACCTCAGCGGCCTTGCACGGCATCACGACTGGCCCCACCGTGCATACCACTTCACCTTCCCATCGTCAGCGACCCGCGGGGGCGGCTTCAGCCCCCCCGCAGGGTACTAAACCAGACAGGCCCTCGTGCCCCACCCACGCTTCCTCCGTTGCTGAGCGAGAGGAAGCGGCTCCCCTGACCTCTCGGGGCGCGGCCCTAGCGGCTCCAGCCCTGGGGTCGCGCCGGCCCCTCCTGTCACCTTTTAACGGTGACGGACGTCAGCATTCAGGGTCCCGCACGCCGCTAGCCCACCTGGACAGGCGTACCGAGGACCTCGCCTCTGTCTCGAGATCCTCGGCGGATGTCACTGAGCAGCCACCTCTCACCGACCGTGAAACCGAGCTGTCACAGGCTATGGCTGCCCTTCAGCAGAAGTGCTTAGCTCTCGCCGCGGACCTCGCCGCTGCCCAAGCTCGTCAAGGTCCTCTACTCCAGCGCCTCCACAGCGCTGGGCGAGCCTTCGCCGAGCTGCTCACCACCTCGCCCGATGGTGTCGTGCCGTCACTCAACATCCAAGCTATGTTGTCATCGTTCCGCGGCGCTCCACCTGGTGCCCCGCGCTGATCTCCTCCTTTCTGCCTGCCCGTGTGTACGCGTGGCTCCGCGTCCACGGTGTCAGGGCGTGGGGGCGGGGGGTGCCCCGTCACTGCGCGCCGCTTAGCGGCCAAGCGCCCAACTGGCGGTCCGCCAAGCCGCCTAGCCACGTGCCAGCACGTCGCCTTTCTTGTTGGGGCCTTTTACCTCACGCGGTCTGTCAGGTGAGATCTTCATCGTCTGTCCGCCGTCTGTAGCGTCAGTCGCACTGCGCCGGGGGAGGGGGTTTTGTAGCCCGCCCTCGTATCTTAAGGCTGCACCGCCGCAAATAGTGCTTGCGAGTTGTCGCACCGCAGTGCGCCTCGCGGACGGACCCTGGTCCGCCTACTTGTCCGATCTCTCCCTCTCTCTCTCTCTCTCTCTCTCTCTCTCTCTCTCTCTCTCTCTCTCTCTCTCTCTCTCGCCCTCTCTCTCGCACCCCAGGGCGCGGCCACAGCGGGTCAGGGCCCGCCACGGACGCGCGCGCGCGCTCGCGAGGCACGCCGCCCTCACGGCGGCGAGCCTGGCGCCAGGAGGGCCCGCCCCAGCAGGCCACAGGCGGCCGCGCGCAGGCGCACGGCCGAGCAGGCCCTGGGCCCCAGCGAGGCTGCGCCCAGGAGGCGGCCGCGCGCGAGGCGCGCAGCCGAGGGGCCCGCAGGGCCAGCGGGGAGCCCGCCAGCAGCGCAGGCCCAGCGCTCATCCGAGCGGCCGCCCTGAGTACGGGTCCTTGCCGCTCAGCAATCGGCTCAGGTAGATCCTCTTCTTTTTCTCTCCAGCCGTGGCCTGCGGCCCTGGCGGCAGGCGGCCGCCGCACTCCGCCTTCAGGCCCTCGGCGCGGTCCACGCCCTTCAGCTGCGCGAACGCCCCGCACTTGCAGCAGAAGGCGCACGGCCCCGCCGTGCGGAGGCTGTGACCCAGGCGCACCTATGGCAGCTGCACCTCGCCGCGCGGCGGACGGGGGCCTGCCGCCCGCTCAGGGCTCCTCGAGCGCTGGGCATCGCGGGCACCCACGCTCGGCCCCCGGCCGGCCTCCGCCGCCGCACTCGCCAGGCACAGCGGCCGCCGCAGCCGCCGCCGCCAAGGCGTAGGCAGCCGCCACGGGGAGGCCCCCCGCACCGCGAGCAGCAGCAGCCTCGCCTCCTCCGTCAGCACGCACAGGATCGTCGTCCCCCGCAGCATCGGCATCACCTCGAACGCCCAGAGCCGCCCGCGCTGGCTGCAGCGGCGGCACCTGCTACACCTCGGCCGCAGGCGGGGGCGGAGGCAGCCCCGATGGCGCCGCGTCAGGGTGCGGCCAGACGTCCTCGCCGCCACTGCCGCTGCCCTGGTCATCGGGCCCGCCCTGCGTCGCGTTCACCAGCGGCAGCTGCGGGTTGTGCCAGGTGCCTGGCCACGGCCGCCGCAAGGCCTCGATCCCTCGGCCGCGGAGGCCCTGGGGCCGCGGCAGCCCAGCTTGGCGGGGCGGCTCGCTGGAGCCAAAGGCGCCCAGGCCAGGCAGGGCACAAGCGAAGCCAGGCAGCGCAGGCAGGTTGACCACCGCCTCACCGATGATGTTTTCCATGGCGCGGCAGACCTCGTCGAGCGTGGCCCACTGCATGGCGGCAACGTGCAGCCACTCCTCCAGGTTCGCCAGGCCCATCAAGTGTCCCACTGCGATGCGCCGCACATCTGCTTTCATGAGCCACGCCTGCCTGACCATCGCCTGGGCCAGCGCCCGCAGGCCTATGGAGCCTGCACGTCTCGTAACCACTGCCCTCGTGTCCTCACTGTCGGGCCTGGCCAGCCAGGTGACGGCATACTGCGCCGCCCAAGCCATCCAGGTGTCCTCCGCGGCCTCCGAGTCGCGCAGGTCGAACACCCAGCAGCTCGCGAAGGCCCTCAGCCTGCCGCGCAGGACCTCGAGGCAGACCGCGGCATCAGGATCGGGGCTGCTGTTGTGATCGGACTCGCTGTGGCCCACAGGTTGGCCCCGCCGCTGGGCGGGGTCGGCCCGCGGGCCCACTGGCCGCTGTAGCCCCTCAGCGACGCCTCCTGGCCGCGGCAGCGTCGGCCCCTGCGGCGCGGCTCGGCCTCCCGCAGGGCCCTGCGGCCGGCTGGGGCGGCCACTCGGCGGAGACCGCGAGCGCCCTCGCCGCTGAGACGCGCCTCGCTGCCGCCACCCGCCGCCCCCTCCGCCATGCGCCCCACCCACGGGCTCGAAGAAGGTGAAGTAGAGTGGCCCACGCCTACCCCCAGCGTGCTGCGCGCTGCCACGGTCGCACAGGAAGGTCCGCGCCGCGGCGTGGTAGCCACGCAGCCGCTGGAGCTTGACCTGCCTGGCCTCGTCCTCCAGCTGGAGCGCCTCGTCGATGTGGGCCTCCCTAAACGGCCCGCCGCCCCGCCAGCCGCGCTCGCAGAACTCCTCGGCCCGCCTCGGCCGCTCCGCGCTGCGCGGCTCGGCGCTGTTGTGGACGAAGAAGCCGCGGCAGGCCGCCTCGCCCAGCATCCTGCACACGTACTCGACGCACTCCTCCATCCAGGACGCGTAGGCCAGGCTCTGGTCCATCAGATCGACGATCCGGGAGCTGGCCAGCGTGCCCAGGGCGGCCTCCAACGGCCCTGAGCGGCCCCACGCTTCGGTGGCGCAGTGATCGTTGCCCTCCTGCGGCCACACCAGGCCCACCTGCCGCGCGGCGCTGCCATGCCCGCGGCCTCGGCCAGGGCGGGGATCGGGCCGACCTGCCCTCTGCGCCTGCGGCGGCCCAGCAGCCTCTGCGTCAGCAGGCCTCGCAGCAGGGGCACCCTTGGCCGCCTCCAGCAAGTAGTCGATATTCTGCTGCATCGCCCGCCTCTGGCATCCTGCCGTGGTGGGCGCACTATTCGTGGGCGGGAGCTCCTCCTCCTCCTCCTCCAGGCGCTCAGCCGCCTGCAGGCTCGCGTTGACCGCTGCAGAGCTCGCCAGCGGCCGACCCTGACGGCAGCGGGCCCGCATCCTGCCCAGCTCCGTGGGCTGGCAGGGCCTGCAATCCAGCAGCGCCCGCGCCTTGGCCGTGTAGGTCTCGCGCCCACAGTGCACGCATTGCACACCGTATGAGCTGGTGGCTTGGTACTCGCGCCTCGTGAGGCTGAGCTTCGGGGCAGCTGCCCCCCCCCCCCCCCCCCCAGACCTGTCGGCGCTGGAGCCTGCCGCCTTCCCCGAGAGGCCCCCACAGGCCCAGCTGGCAGATGCGCGCCGCCGCCCAGCCCAAGAACGTGGCCGTGTCCAGGGCGCGCTGGAGCTCAGCGTGCAGCGCCTCCACCGTGCCGTTCGGCAGCCTGGTCTCCGCGGCGCCGAGGTTGGCGAAGAAGTCCGCCCAGCAGTTCCCAAGCCAGTCCAGGGGCCGCAAGCCCTCGGCCAGCGCTTGCTGGAGGCTGCGGTGGGCAAGCACCCAGCGGAAGCGCGGCGGCGGCCCATCGCGCCTCGCCGCGGCCGCGTGGAGCTGGCGCCAGATGCTGGCGTGCCGTGCTCTGGCCGACTGCGCCGTCGGGGACCAGCCGTTGCCCTCCGTGACTAGGGCCTGCAGGTCACTGACGATGACATGGACGGAGCCCGCCTGCTCCAGCGGCGCAGGGAACGCATGCCGCCCCGCCCTCCCCACGGTTTGGCGCGGCCCAGGCAGCGGACCGTAGGCCGCCTTGATGGGGGGGGGGCGTCAGGCCTGAGGGCAACCGCAACCCACCCACACCTACGCGCCTCAGGGACTCGGGAGGCGCGCCCTGCACCATCCGTGTAGACCACCGACGGCCACCCCTCCTGCGTGGCGCCCGACGGCGCGGGCGGCGGCATCGCTGGCAGCAGCGGCAAGCCGTGCGCCAGCGGCAGCTCGCTATCCCCGATTGTCCACTTCTGCTCGGCTTCCCCCAGCTGGTGGCGCATCGCCACGATCGGCTTGCGGAACGGCTCCTCATGCTCCAGCTCGTCGTCCCGCGGCACCATGAGTGCAGGGCATACACACCACCTGTGCACCAGCGTGTCCTTGCCCCCCCCCGCAGGCCTGGCACATGTCGGAGTCGGTGTAGCCGCGGGCGTACCTCCAGGCGTTGGTGAAGTGCCCTCCTGCCCACACCGCTTGGATGGCCCCCAGCTCCGCCGCAGGCCGTGCCCTGCTCGCAATGGCACGGACGGCCCTAAGCCAAAGGGTCTCGCCCTGGCCCTCGGGCAAGTGGGCCACCAGCCGCCTGCACTGCCAGCGCTGGACGCCCCCCACCAGCGCGCCCTTGATGTCCCGAGGAGCAACCCGCAGCATGGACAGCGTCTCGCCCAGGTCGGTATGCAGGGCCCGCGCTGCTGCCATAGTCCAGCCGATGCGGCTGAGCGTGAGCCACGTGGCCACGAGCGGGCCGTGCGCGGTAGCCCAAGACAAAGTGCCCGCTCGCCCCGCCCCAGCCAGCTTGCACCAGCTAGCGATCAGGCTGGCAAGGGGGCCTCGGCCCTCCCAGATGCGGCTGGCCAAGCGCATCACCAGCGGGATGGTGGCCGCGTCGATGGGGTCGTAGTCCACGCGCAGCTGCAGCAGCATAACCGCGGCGGTGCCACAGCCCGCTTTGGCCCCCGCCGTGACCGCCGCCGACGTCCTCAGCTGTGCCAGTGGCCGATCCGCCAGGCCAGCCACGCCAGCCCCATGGCCAGCCGAAGGGGACAGCCCCGTGGCGACCAGCGCCGCTGCGCGCCTCCCAGCAGCCCACCTGAGCATGGCCATCCGGCTGCGCCTGGCCGCGAGGGCCTGCAGTCGGCGTTTCTCCTGCGTGCGGAGCACCTTCCGCCCGTGGAGCTCGCGCCCTAGGTTGCGCACCCAGAACTTCTCAGCGAGGCCCCTGCTCCGCATGGATGGCGCCAGCAGCCGCGCCCTCCGCCTGGAGGAAGCCAGGTGCCCCGACTTCTGCGGCTGCATGACTAGCCTGAGCTCCACCATGCTCGACGAGAAACTTCTGAGCGCCTCGGAAAGGCCGTCGTCAGGCACGTCACGCGGTCCGCTCCAATCCAGGGCGGCGTCGTCCACAAGGCCGCGCGGCGTCACCGACGGCGCAACGGCATGCGCCCGCTGCAGCGCACGGAGAGTGAGCACCAGCAGCAGCGAGTTGGCGTGGCCGCAACCTGCGATGTTCCCCTCTCGGGCCACGAAGAGGTCCGACGTTGTGTTGAACGCCGCCAGCGCCCGTGGCTGCCGATAGGTGCTCAGCAGCACCCACGCCAGCCTCAGGGGGAACCCCAGCGCACGGGCCTGCACGAGCTGAGCCCCAGGCGCCACCATCTCGTACGCCTTCCAGAGGTCGAGGGCAACCTGGGCGGAGTCCCAGCCGCCGAGGCGAGCCTGCTCCTTGGCCAGGTTCAGCTCGCACGCGGAGTCAGAGCTCGAGCGGCCAGGGCCCGTGCCCCAGACCAGGGACGAGGGGCGGGCGAACTCCCAGGCCTTGGTGATCGGCCTTCGCGCTCGACTCCACACTCTCACCAAGGCCGGCATGAGGCCGATCAGCCTGCAGCCCCCGCCAGGCTTGGGCAGCCCCACCATGGTGTTGATGAGGCGGCTACTCGGCCACGCAAGGAGCTCCTCGCACTTGTGGTAGACCGCGATCATGACGTGCAGGGCGTCGCCGGAGAGATCCTCCAGCGCCCTCGGCAGAATGCCCGACTGGCCCACCCTGTGCGCCAGGGGAAAGAGCGTAGCACGTCGCGGACGTCGCGCAGCTGCAGAGGCGGCAGCGCGTCCCACGTGCGCGCGTCGCTAGGCAGCACCACGCTGGCGAGGCCGTGGTACTTCCAGATGTCGATCCACGGCTTCATCTCCCTGTCCACCAAGGCCGCCGAGCCTTTTCTCCTGCAGCGCGGGCAGTACCTCCTGAAGCACAGGTACCTTGGAGGCCGCGTGCGCCGCGCCAGCGCCGCTCAGGAAGGCATCATCCACCCATTCCTTCCAGCGGGCCTCGTCGGCCTGGACCAACTTCCGCTGCCTCCCCTTCGCCTCAGCCAGCGCACGCTTGAGATCCCGCTCGAAGTCGGCCTCTGTCCAGTTGGCGTCGGCACGGAAAGGCCGTTGTGCCCACGGCGGCAGGATACGCCAGTGCACATGGTCCTCGATGCCCGCCAGGAACATCCTGAGGTGCGCCAGGGTGGCCGCGATCGACTTCATGAACTTGTCCCTCGCCGCCGCCGCCTCTCTGCCTTCTTCCTGCCTGTGGCTGCCCAGGGCTGCCTGCAGCTTGGCCAGGCAATCCCGTTTGCTGAGGAGCTCGGTCGCCCACCTAGCTAGCACCGCCCAGGCATGGGCCTCTGGCCCCCAGCGCTTCCGCTTCTGGGGTGGCCTCCACTGAAACAACTCCCATCTCAAGCCTGCAGCCCCCCCCCCCCTGCGTACCACGCCCTGCGAAGGTGCGGCGGGCCCCACCAAGTCCCGCCTGTTGAGGATCTCCGCCTCGACCCCCTCCAACAACAGGTCCCAGATGATCTGCAGGCCTTGGTCGTCGCGCGTGGCCTGGACGCAGCGCGCCACCTCCGTCCAGCGCCAGGGGCCGCGGGCGCAGCCAGGCTTGGCGGGCCCCCTGGGAACCGCCCTCGGCTCGTCGAGCACCTGCTGCCACGCCTCCACGCGCACCGACTGCAGTGGCAGGTGGACGGGCCAGTGGGGCCACGCGCTGGCACCCCTGCCCAGCCGCGGAGACGCCGCCGCAAAGCACGCCAGGCCCTTGGAAACCACAAAGTAATCAATCTTGGAGCCGCTGCCCTGCCTGCAGGCGGGGGCGCCCGCGACCCGAATCTGCGCGCGCAGCTTCCGGGCCCAGCCGAAGTCCAGGACGTCCGCCTCCATGTTCCAGTCGCCCATGGCCGCCCAGCGGTAGCCCTCCGCCTCCAGCACGCCGAGGTACTGGGCCAGCTGCCAGAGGATGCCTAGGTTGTTCGCCGAAAGGCCCTCTCCGACGTGTAGGTATACGCTCAGCGCCACCACGCCCCCCTGAGGTCCTGCTCGAACATGCCCAGCGACCAGGCGCCCAGGCACCAGCACATGCGAGTCGCGCCCAGGGGGCCCTGTCAGCTGGATGCTGATAGGGGCCAGCACCGCGACCCCGCCGACCGAACCAGTCGTCGAGGTAAGGGGGCGGCGCGGCGGCACTCCAGACTCCGCGCCACCCTGCATCCTTGGCCGCCCGCTGCTGCGTCGCCAGGACACTGGCCGCACAGCGATGCTCCTGCACGGCCAATGCCAGGGTCGCCTGGCCATCAGCCTGAAGGAGGTACTCGTTCAGGGGCCCCCGTGACGCCACCTTAGCGGTGGCCAGGCAGCAGCCGCCCCTGACCACTGGCGCGCGCTGGCCCACGCGGCCAAGCTGTGGGCCAACATCGCCTGGCGGCGGGCCAGGCTGGGCAAGACCCGCGGGAGGGCGGCACCGCCCCGCGGCTGCGGGGGCGGAGCGAGCGGGGGGCTCGAGCTCCGCATGGGGCGCGCAGGACCGACTACAGAGCCCTCCGAGGCGAGGTCTCGGGGCCTGCAATCTCCCTGGCAGACGGGACGGCCGAACTCCTCGCACTGCTGGTCGCCCGCCTCCAACGAGTTGCCGAAGGTGGAGTCCATGCAGGGGGGGGGGGGGGGGGGGGGGGGGGGGGGGGGGGGGGGGGGGGGGGGGGGGGGCGCGACTTCGAGAAACTGAAATCCCCCCCCCCCCCCCCCCCCCTGCGCCGCACCTTGGGGCCGACACCCGTGGTTGCCAGTCAGGAAGCCCCACCTGGTCAACCACCTCTGACATCCTGGGGCCGCACCCTTGATGGCCGAACACCCCCATCAGCCCAGCGCGGGCCTGAAGGTCCGCCCCCCCTCCCCCCCGAGAGATCACCTCCAGGATCGTCATGCAGGCCGTACCCTGAGGCCGACACCTGCGGCTGCCAGTCAGGATCCCCCACCTGGCCAGCCGAATCTGACATCTTGGGGCCGTACCCTTGAAAGCCGGACACCCCCAGCAGCCCCGAGGGGGTCTGCTGGCTCCCATCCCAACCGAAGGCAGCCCCAGCGTCGCCCGCCTGCAGCGCCCCCGCGTGCTGCAGCCCCAGCGCCGCGCCACCAGCAGCCCCTGCCGCGCTGCGCACTGGTTGCGCCTGGCCCCCCTGGCTCGGGCAGTCAGTACCCCAGAAGATGCAGTCGCCCAGCTCGAGGGCAGCCTGCTCGTCGGCCTCGTACAACTCGTTGTAGTAGGCCTCCCAGTTGCCACTGTCGCCCGCCATGGCGCCTGAAAGGCCCTCAGGCCGAGGCGCGCGCCCGCTTGGGCGGCAGCAGGTCCGAGTCGGCGTAGAACCGATTGAAGGCTTCGCGCACACCATCGTCAGCAGGACGAACGCTGCCCTCGGCCCCAGCTGGGGCGGCGCCCACCTTCGCGAGGAAGTTGAGCTGCGTGTCTACGTCCAGCCCGTCATCGCCCATGGCATCGCGCCCTGCAGGGACCCCCTTGGCGGCTGCTGCCGCTGCAGCCTCAGCAGCCCTGGCCTCTCGGCGCTGCTGCTCGAACTTGGTCGCCTGCTCCAGCAGCGACGCATGCAGGGCGCCTTTTCGACCCCGAACGAGCCGAGCACCTTGCCCAGGAAGTCGGCGGAGAACTCGAGGCCCTCGACCTCGATTTCGCCCTCCAGGCCATCGCGCAGCTCAGTAGGAGGCTTAGCCAGCTTGCCCAGCGTGCGAGACTGCTCCACCCTGAGCTCGACCAGCCTCGCCTCCCGCTCGACGTCCGCCAGGCGCAGCGCGTCGGCCTTGGCCTCGAGCTCCTTCTGCTGCGCCGCCACCGCCGCCATCTCCCCGCGGCCCTTCTCCTGCTGCTTCTCCAACTTATTGATCTGGCCCGTGAGGCTCTTGAGCTACACGTCCTTCGGCTTAGCCTGAAAGACCTCCTGGCGCAGCTGGTCGCGCTCCGCCTCGAACGTGGCCTTCCTGTTGCGGGCGGCCTTCACGAAGTCGCCCACATCGCCCTCCATGTCCGCCCAGCACCAAATCTCGCCCAGCTGCTTGCCGAACTGCTCCAAGCGCTGGCGCTTCGCGTCTCCCGCTGCGCCATCGCGCCAGGGGGGCGCGCCCCCCCCCCCAGGCGAGGCGCCCCCGCCAGGCCCAGGCTGGACCGCCGCCGCCTTGAGCTTCTTGATCTGGTCCAGCGCCTGGGCGAGCTTGACCTCGGCGTTACTGCGCGAGGGCGCCGCCTCCACGGGCTCCCCACCAAAGTGGGAGCTCTTCGGCATGTTGCACCACATGCACTGCATGCGCTCCCCGAAGTTGAGTTTCCTGAAGCCCTTGGCGTCTGGCACACTGCAGGACTTGCAGTACCATGGGCTCTTGGCAGATGCCCTGGCCGCTGCCCCTGACCCGAGGCTGCGGGGCCCGCCGCCTGGCCCCCCTGACTTGCCGCTGCTGCCTCCACCGCGCGCACCGCCGCCAGAGCCGCCCCCTACCATGGCACTCGCCCTCGGAGAGAAGGCGCCCCCAGCACGGCAAGGAGGAGCAAAGCAGCCGCCCGCCGCGGCCTGGCCCGTTGGCAGAGATTGGACGTTTCCTGGCCCAAAGCGCGAGACCCCTCGCGCTCAGGGGACGCCCGCGAGGGACTCGCGGTCGTCGGGTGCCTCATGGCCTTGAGCCAAAATGGCTACGGAGTCTTTCTCTCTCTCTCTTTCTCTCTCTCTCTCTCTCTCTCTCTTTCTCTTTCTCTCCTCTCTCTCCCTATTGGGCGGAGGGGGGGAGGGGGGGGTCTGTCTTCGTGCCTCTGCTTGCGCGACTTCGCAAGCGTCCGATGGGGGAGACTCCACCTGCTCGAAAGACGTGCCAAAAACAGCCAAGATCTACGCCATGGGGGGGAGGGGGGGGGCGACGGCCTGCGCCAATCGGCAAAACAACGAATACCAAAAACAATCACTTGTCTGGGCTTTCCATCGTATTCGCCTCCTCGGGAGCTTTTCAGGGGGTCCCTCGCCACTACGGCCGGAGTCGCCTCCAACCCCCGGTCAGAAAGCGCCTCGAAAGTGGCCAGGGGGGAGGAGGTAGGAGGGAGGAGGGGGGATGAGGAGGGGGGAGGAGGAGGAGGGAGGGAGGAGGGAGGGAGGAGGGGCGGGAGGACCACCGCGGCTGCGTGTCGTTCCACTACCAGGACGCCGCGTACCCAGCCACCGAGCACGGCCTGAGCCAGGGCCACGGCGAGGCGACCGGGGCACGGCGAGGGGCCCAGACGTCCAGCGGGAGGTGTCGACGGCAGCGGTGTCCGTACAGCTCTGTTCCCCGCAGGTATACGAGCTCCCGACCGCTGCGGATGAGGTGGCGGAGCTCTGAGAGGGGCTGCCGAGGGGGCGGGGGCGGAGAGGGGGGAAGGGGAGGGCGAGGGGGTGGGTGGGAGGGGGGGGAGGTCAAGCTAGGTGCGCTCGCGCCAAATCTGACATCCAATCCCTCCCTCCCATCCCTTCCCATTGCGCTGACTTTTCTGGACGGTATCCGCAGACGCATGCCATAGCCGACATGGAATTCCAACGGAAGAAACCCATCGTCTTATGCGCAATCGGAAAAGGGAAGCTGCGTGCATAGGAGGAGGAGGAAGAGGAGGAGGAGGAGGAGGAGGAGGAGGAGGTGGCGGGTAAGCAGGAGGATGAGCAGGAGGAAAAGGAGAAGGATGTGGAAGAAGGAAGACGAGGACGAACAGCAGCAGCAGAAATTGGAGTGGAAGGGGCGAGAGAAACAGGAGGACCAGGGGAAGGCGGAGTAGGGAAATGAAGGGGGCACAACGATGAAAAAGATCTCGGATCCAGATAAGTGGCCAACGCCAGGGCGAGCTCGTCGTTCTGAACGACGGGAGCAAGTGCCGATCCGAAAATGACGCCCATGCTGCAGCGGGATCACCATTATGAAGCACGGAGACCATCTCGCCCCCTTTCATGTGCATTAAGAACAATGCGTGGATGGGGGGAGCGGACACTCCCAGCACATACTCAGAGGAGAAGACCATAATATTAATAGTGTGTACTTGCAGATTGAGATCAGCGCTGCAGTGGGAAAACGATTTCGAAGGACCGAAACCGCGGAAACGAGACCATCGCTGCAGCGGGACCACAATTTGGAATGACCTGACGCGGGGAACCGAAGCCAACGCTGCAGCAGGAGCACGACTTGGAAGAAGCGAAACAATGAAATGAGGTCAGCGCTGCAACGGGAACATGACTTGGAAGGGCAGTGAGTGGGAAAATGGAGCCAACGCTGCAGCGGAAGAATCATTCTGAAAGGACTGCAAACGTTCGGATTGGAAAACCATACGAATTATCAATTCGACGGCATCCGGTGTGCCAAAAAAATACGCGGAGGCCAGGAAACCTCACCGGCGACTTCGGTGGAGAGAAGAGAGTGTAATCATATTGTGAAATTACAGAGAATGGGAATGGGAGGGAGATGGAGGGGGGCGGGTGGAGGCGGGAGAGGGCAACCTAGGTGCGCTCGCACCATATCTGATGTCCTCCCCCCCTTCCTCCCTTACCATGGCGTAGATATCCTCTCTATTCGCACAGTCGAATGTCGAGCAGGGCAATGATCGCGAGAGGATACGCGATGCATGGTAGAGCACGGCATGGCATGGCGTAGAAGAGCGCGGCAGAATGTAGCATGCCACAGCATGGCGTGGCATTGCGCAGTGAAGCAGCGGATCGCAAAGCATTGCAACGCAAAGCAGGGCATCGCACAGCGGCGCAAAGCATGTCATGGCATGGCGCCAGGTTCTTTGGAGGATAAGTGAATCGTTTTCGAGAGGCCTGGGCCGGTCTGGAGTCGTGGCTGCATGTCTAGCCCCTTAGGCTCCCCGAAAAGCTCCACAGCAGGCGGGGCTTATGGAGAGCACCCGCTGGCTCTGATTCCAACATCGCCTTCTCAAGACAGAAACGGAGCTCCCGCTTGATACGTCCTGAAAACCACGACGCCCCGAAGTGGGGGGGGAAGGCTTCTGCGGCCCAAATAATCAACAAATCGGCACCAAGTGTGGCATCACTTCCGATGGTTTCTTCGGAGGAGCATTGTCTAGATTTTTGGGCCTATTTGGAGGAAGGCCAGCGAAGCAGCGGGAGCACGATTCGGAACGAGCGAAAGCGCGGAGATGAGGCCAGCGCTGAAGCGGGAGCACGATTCGGAACGAGCGAAGCCCGAAACTGAGGCCAGCGCTTCAGCAGAAGCAACACTTTGAAAAAAAGCAAGCGAAAACCCAATATCATGTGTAAAAAAATACGCGGAGGGGGGCCGGATATCTTCCCGACGTCATCAGGGGAGAGAGGAGAATAGTATTCATATTGTGTATCTGTGGAGAGGGAAGAGAGGGGGAGAGGGTGGAGTGGGGGGAGGTGGAGAATGGGGATGGGAGGGGGAGAGCGAGAAGGCGGCTGGGGAAGAGGACAGAAGGACGACGGAGGAGGAGAACTGAAATGGAGAAAAGGAGGAGGAAGCGGAGGAGCAAAGGACAATGGAGGAGAAAAGGACGATGAAGGAGGAGGTGGAGGAGGAGAAGGAGAAGATGGTGGAGGTGGAGGGGGAGGAGGTGGAGGGGGAGGGGGAGGAGGAGGAGGAGGAGGAGGAGGAGGAGGAGGAGGAGGAGGAGGAGGAGGAGCGAGGAAGGCTCTCAATTGAGAACAGCGGCAAATCCTCGAGCTCCTGGACGCGCGCATGTTGGTTTAGGTCCAGTCGGCCGATCGGTGCACCTCTCGGAACAGCAAAACCCCACCAGGAACCTGGCATGGAAGAGAACGAGAATGTGCTGCCCCAGCGTGACAAACTGCATGCTTCCATTGTGCTGGTCTTCGTTGTGGGCTGCAGGTCGCCCGTTTCCAATCACCGCGCCCCAGGATGCGCGACGCGCGAGAACGCCTTCGCGCCGACGGCCCCCGCGCAGCCCTCCCTGGGGAGGGGCGGCTGCCCCAGCCCGGACCGCGACGCGCTCAGCGCTCGCATCTTCGCGCCCCCGGGGGTGGCCTGGGACACGCCGACGCCGCGCAGACACCGCATCTGGAGTCGGCGGCTGGGCAGGGGCCGTCTGCGCTGGCGAAGTGAGCCAAACGGGGGCGCCGTGAAAGCGAACTGGCCACCGTGCAGGAGGAGGGAAGAGGGAAAGGGGGGAGGGGGGGGGGGGGACGCAGACGCCACACATGTCACTCACGCGTTGCCCGCGTGTCCCTGTGCATGCTCGGCCATTCTGCTCGCCAGGCGTGCTGCACCTGGACCCGGGCATGCCCCGGGCCCCGGAGAGCAGGGGCGCGGGCGCTGGCCCGCGGCGGTGGGGTGGGGGGGGGCGGCGGTAAGGGAGGGCGGGGCGCGCCCCAAGGATTCCCAAAGGCTGGCGCGGGGCAGGGGGGCGTACGGCAGATTTCCGTCGTCACGACTTGCGCGTTGGTGTCGGACACCGCGTGGATCCGTCCACCTCGAACGATAGGGGCTCTGGTTAGCGCAGATTGTTCGAGGTCGCCGCCGCGTCGACGCGGCACAAACCTGCCGTAGGGATGTCGTTAGTCATTAGAAAAGAGGGGCCTAGACCCCGGTGTGCCTCGGGTCTCAAAAACGCGCTGCCAGGGATGCGGGGCGCCAGTAGCGGGGAAAGGTCGGGAAAGGCCCAGGGATGCGTAAGGCCTTCCCCTCTTCCTCCTTCTGATGCTTGTTCCGCGCTCGTTTGCTCGCCTCCTGGATCGAGAGACTATCTCGACCCCCCGAGACGAGCGCTTCTGCGTTGCGTTGTGAACCCCAAAAGCCCGACGTACGCACTTGCATGATTCGTGGAACAGATCTCTGGGAGACCAACCGTGCATCCACTTGATGTCCCTGAGATTGGGGTGGAGGAGGGCAGAGGAAAGGATAAGGTTACTCCTTGCCTCACCTCCCCCTGCCCCCTCTTTAACCTGGACCTCCTCCCCCCCTTACGTCCTTCATCATTCTCCCCCTCCCCCTCCCCCTCTTCTTCCTCCTCCTCTTTATCGACGACATGGCGGGAAGGTAACCATGTCCAAAGAACTTGCGCCATCGCTTTCACCTGCTATCTAAAGACTATCAAAACCAAAACATCGATCCACCTGCGCCTGAGGCTTTGCACACTAAGACCGATAGCAGAGATGAGATGACAGAATGTGCGTGCTCGGCTCCAGAGATGGAAGCACCAGAGAAAGCACACAGACAACAGAGAGCACGCCCCCTCCTCCTCCCCCTCCTCCTCCTCCTCCTCCTCCTCCTCTTCCTCCTCCTCCTGCTCCTCCTCCTCCTCTTCCTCCTCCTCCTCCTCCTCCTCCTCCTCACAACCGCCTGACAGCCGGGAGAAACGGCACCAAAACAAACGGCGACGGCAGTGCTGACCATGCCGCCGACGACGCCGACGCAGCCGACGCTGGCTTCGGCGGCGCCGCCGACGCCGACGCCGAGCGCCTGCGGCAGCGGCTGTAGAGCTTGGCGGCGCAGACAAGGGGGATAAGGTGGAGGGGGAAGGCTTCTGAGATGGAGGCTGCTTATCAGAGAAGGCGCTGGCCCTACATCTGAAGACAAGGCCCGCGCCGTCTGAGAGGCAGGGGTGGTTCTAAGAGGCCTTCCCCCCTCCACCGAACCCTCTCTAGACAAGCGCGTCCCACTATTCGCAAGAAGGAACTGCTCGCAAATGGCCCGGATCCGCCGCGGGATATTTACGATACACTACACACAGGAAGACATGCGATGTTTCGGACGTTTGCGAGTAGGCACTTTGCGAGTAGCGCGGGCAAGAGTTGTACCCATATCCACTCCGTCTTGGAGCTCGGGGTTCCCTCCCCCAGAAACCAGAGGGGCAGTGAACATGGATACAAGTTTGGCACCTAGAGGCTGGAGATAGATGGCTTATACGATTTCCCTGCGCCTCGGCCTGGTGACGCCCCTTCCCAGAAAAGTCCAAGACGCAGTGGATATCCACACAAATCCTGCCCGCAAGTAGTGGAACGCGCTCGCTGACTCTCTCGGCGGCTCAAAGATGAGGTCCTGGGGGATGGGGTCCTAAGGATAGGAAGGGATCCACGGGTGAATCTACATCGCTCGAGGCACCTCGTCCTCAGGACCCCATCCCCGAGGAACCCATCCTTGAACCATCGACTCTCTGCGCGCGGCCGCAGAGCAGCGACGGCGCGCGGCGACGGCCGCCAGCGGCCGGCGCGCCACGGCGGCAACCCTCCCCCGCCACGAGGCGCGGCGGCGACGGCGCGCGGCCGCACGGCGGCGACCGCGGCGGTCCTCGGCGCCCGCGTGGACCGGCGGCCCCGCCGACAGCCGCCGCCGCACGCGCCTCTCCGCCTGCGGCCGCAGTGGCAGCGCCGCCGTCGCCGTCGAGGCCGCCGCCGGCGTGGGCGCGGGCGCCGCCGCCGCCGCCCGCGGCCGCCAGCGTCGTCGTGGGAGTCGGCGTCGTCGGCGGCGACGCCGCCAGGGGTCGTCGGCGTCGGCGTCGGCGGCGACGACGACGACGCCAACGCCGGCGAGGGCGTCGCCGACGGGATCATCGGCTCAGCAGGCGTCCGCGGCGTCGTCGGCGGCGGCGGCGGCGCATGCGTCATCTTCGGAGTCGTGTGCGCTGCGCCATCGCAGGGCATCGTCATGCGCGCGGGCGTCCGCACCCTGCTGAACGCCATATGAACACCCGCACGCGCGCGGCGGCGCGGCGCAGAGCAGGTCGAGCAAGCGCGCGTGCCGCGCGGTTCCCGCAGAGGGGAGAATCTGGATGCAGCGAGGGGGATCGTGAGCGACACTCACGGGGGGGGGCAGCCGTGAAGAGACACGGGGGAGAGGTTGGCGGCGAGCCCAGGGGGGAAGTGAGAAGGGGCTCGCCTTCTGGAAGGCTCGGAAAAAATCCCCGCCTTCTGAGAAATTTCCTTGGCCTTCCCCGAAGACACGGAAAACTTTTCAGAAGGAGCGAGGGCTTCTGAGAAGCCACACACATGCTTACGTCCTGCGCGCACAGCCAACCCGTATGATAAGGACGCACAATAAGAATGCAAGGGCCTTGGAAGGCTATGTCGACGCGAGCGGGGCGCGGCCAGCGAGAGCGGCCAAGGATGGGCCGAAGGGGAAGGATGCAAGGGTAACCTTGGCAAGTTGATCATCCTCACTATGCGGTGCGACTGCAATTCTGCAAACGAATGGCACATTACGCAACAGACTTGCTCGTGGCAGCTCTACTTTCCGAATGTTGGCACACCTGCTTGGCGTCTTCAGCATGTGCTCGCGTCTGAATCGTCTATCGTACATTGCCAGCGCAAGCAGGCTGAGACCCCTAATTCGTGAGTTTCGCGATCTGAAGTTCCCTGGCCGTTGCTTGTCATTGCACCGGCCTTGCAGATGTGCTGCAGCGGATTCCGCGTGGATGTTTGCCCGAAGCGACGAGCGAATAATAAAGTGAATGTCGCGCGGATGTTTGTTTAGTCTTCATTCCTGGCCACAAAAATCCGCACGAAATTCACCTCGAAAGCCAAAGCAAAATTATCCAGGACTCTTCCGGGCCCCATCCTATCGTTTTCCGAACGAAGTCCGCTCTGCGATGTTGGCGCCATGAGAGCTGCCCTGACCGACGCTTGCTGTTCAGGGGGCCCACAGAGGGACGCACGCGCCCAGCCACGCACACGAATACGGCCCCCCCCGTCCGCGAGGCCAGCCCGGTGCTACCAACGTCCGCGCAGGGCACGCACCGTTGAGACCAGCGTGGGCTCGCGTGCACGTGTAGAGGGCAAAACATCCACCCCGATAAGAATCACCCCGACACGCGAAGCCGTTTGGTAAAGACACCCAAAAAAGGAATCAACAGGGCAGGGCTGTTTAGTAAACGCCCAGGGCCGTTTTGTCAACGCCTGGGGCCGTTTTGTAAACGCAGAGGGGCAACCTCATCACCGACAAGACTGCAAAGCTGGTGGGGATACTTCTTTTTTTTACAGCCGCAGGCGGAAGCGCCAGCGGCGGAAGGTCGCGAACGGGCCGCGGACGCGACTAAATTACCGAACGCGCGCAGGGCCGCGGATCAGGCGGCTCACGACAGCGTCCAGGGGGGCGAAGCCGATGCAATCCAGGTGCCATGACAGCCCCTGAACGGGCATGCAGGTGCGTCCAACAGGCCTGAGATAGGCACCGAGACGACCTAGCGCAGCCAAAATGGCGCGATACCGTTCCAACGTCCAGGTGCGGACAAGGGAACGACTCGAGGACGTCAGCCCCAGCCTGTCGGGTAGCACAGAAGACGGGGTGGTAAGTCCAACGAGGATCCCGACGGCGGCAGCGAGCGCTGGTGGGGATACACGAAGCGTGAAGAAAACTCCCCCTGCAGGAGGACGTGCCCGTCTTCCCGCTCGGGCCCCTCGCAAGGAGCGGCGCACTGCCGCCGAGCGCTCCCGCGGCCTTCCCGTGCGCTGCTGGGGCACCCCGTCTGCTGGGTGCCCAGTGCCTCCGCAAACGACCAGAGGAAGGAGGAGGAGGAGGAGGAGGAGGAGGAGGAGGAGAGGAGGAGGAGGAGGAGGAGGGAAGCGAGGAGGAGGAGGGCGAGGAGGGCGAGGAGGAGGGGGAAGCGAGGAGGAGGAGGAGGAGGGAAGCGAGGAGGAGGAGGAGAGGAGGAGGAGGAGGGCGAGGAGGAGGAGAGGCACCGAAAGCGAGGATGGCCCCCCCGCTCGGCCTCGCCGAGCCTGGCCCAGGATCGGTGCACCGCCGTCGGCCGAGGAGGTTGGAAGAAACACGGAGACCTCCTCCTCTTCCTCCTCTTCTCCCTCCCCTCCTCTCCTCCTCCCCCTCCTCCCCCTTATGCTCCTCCTCCTCATGCTCCTCCTCCTCCTCCTCCTCTTCCTCCTCAGCCCTCCTCCTCCTCCTCCTCCTCCTCCTCCTCTTCCTCCTCCTCCTCCTCCTCCTCCTCCTCCTGCTCCCCCTCCTCCCCCTCATGCTGCCAGCCAGGGGGCCACAGTCAGCCCGTATTACAACGATGCGCAGTAGGATGCAGGGGCTTTGGAAGGCCACCTCGAAGCTGCTCGAGAGGGGCGCGGCCAACGAAAATGGCCAAGGATGGGCCGAGGGTGTGGAAACCAAAGGTTACCGATACCGCTACTCCACGGGCCTCTCCCGGGGTGCGGTCTGACCAGAATTTCGAGGCGAATCCAACGGTGGCGACAAGGGCCGCCCAGGACGCCCAAAACGGGGAGAACGGGCGGAAGGTAGCGGTATGGGTACCTTTTCCTCCCCTGAGAGGGGGGAAGGATGCAAGGGTACCCCTAGGACAACTGCCCATCCTTACTATGCGGGTTGACTGTACGAACGCATCGGAAGCAGAGCGGGTGCCCGCCCGCCCTAAGAGGAGGATGGAAGAGGGGGAGCCACTCTATGCATGAGAAAGGGAGAAGGAAAGGAAAGCAAGGAAGAGGGATGACGTAAGAGGGAGACGCAGGGAGGCGCCTAAGTCGACTGGAGTCGGGGACCTGGGGCCCCAGGGCCACCTACCTTCAACGACCGATGGGAATGCCCTCCTGGCTTGGCCAGGAAGGCACATACCCCGATCCTCGGCCCAAAACTGTTGGCACACGCTTGGCCACATCGCCGAAGCTCCGCTACATTTCGCCGCTGTCTAGGCCGTGCTTCGCGCTCAGGCTCGTTTCCACCTTGAATTGGCATTGGTCGCCTCACCGAAGCTACTCCTCCGTCTGCTCCTCCTTCTTCTTCTTCTCCTCCTCCTCCTCCTCCTCCTCCTCCTCCTCCTCCTCCTCGTCCTCCTCCTCCGCCTCCCCCGCCTCATGCTTGTATCTCTACTGTTATAGCGAGCCAGCTTATGGCACTCAATCATATAGTGATACCGTGATACACTGCATGCTGACGCAAACATGAGAAGAAAGAAGCACCCTCTAGAATAAAACCTGGGGACTCTCACCATCGTTAATTCCCTCATCGACATCATCCTCATCAACATCATCATCAGCATCATCATTATCAGCATCGGCATCAGCATCATCAGCAGCACCATCAGCATCATCATACTTATCATCAGCATAATTATCATCATTATCATCATCAGCAGCATCGTCATCATCATAAGCAGCAAACTCATCGGCATCCTTATCATCATCAACATCATCATCAGCATCATCATCATAAGCATCATCATCACCGTCATCACCATCATCGTCATCATCAGCATCAGTATCAACATCAGCAGATTCTTCATCATAATCATCATCATAAGAAGCATAAGCATCATCGGCAGCATCATCATGATTACCAACCGCATCACCATTCTCGTCCTCAGCATCATGGCCGTCATCATCATCATCCTCATCAGCATCATCATGAGCATAGTCATGGTCAACAACCTCAGATTCAACAACACCATCATCATCATCACTACCACAATCACAACCACCACAACTACTTCGAGCATCATCAGCATCACCGTAACAAGCAGCAGCAGCAGCATCAGCATATGCAGCAGCATCATCATTACCACCATCATCATCATCATCAGCATCATCAGAATCAGCATCATCATCATCAGCACCATCATGATCATCATCGTCACCAGTATCAGCATGTTCATCATCAGCAGCAGCAGCGTCAATATCATAGTCATCATCATCAGCAGCATCATCAACGTCATCATCAGCATCATCATCATCGCCATCATCATCATCATCATCAGCAACATCCTCATTATCATCAGCATCACCAGCGTCATCATCCGCAGCAGAAACAGAATCACCACCACCACCCTCGTCATCGTCATCATCATTATCACCGCCCACCACAACCACCACCATCACCATCAATATCGGCATGACCACCATCATCATCAGCAGCATCGACAGCATCACCAATCAGTATCATCATCATCATCATCATCATCATCATCATCATCATCATCATCATCATCATCATCATCAGCATCATCATCATCATCATCATCATCAGCATCAGCATCATCGACATCATCGGCATCATCATCAGAATCAGCATCAGCATCAACATCATCACCCGTGTCAGCATCAGCATCAGTAGCGTCACCATCATCAGCATCACCAGCATCATTGTCATTCCCATCACCATACTCATCTTCATCATCATCGCCGTCATCATCATCATCATCATCATCATCAGCATCCTCATCAGCATCATCAGCATCACCATGTTTAACAGCATCATCATCAACAACATCATCATAACCAACACGACAACAACCACCACAACCACCACAACCACCTCCATCATCATTAGCATCGCCATCACCTGCAGCAGGAGCAGCAGCATCAGCATCTGCATCAACAACAGCATCATCATCATCATCACCACTACCGTCATCATCATCAGCATCACCATCATACTCGTCATCAACTTCATCATCATCGTCCCCAGTATCAGCATCATCATCATCAGCAGCAGCAGCAGCGGTAACGTCACCTTCATCATCATCATCATCATCATCATCAGCAGCAGCAGCAGCAGCAGCAGCGGTAACGTCACCATCATCATCACCTGCATCAGCAATGTCATCAGCATCATCATCATCATCAGCATCATCATCATCAGCATCATCATCATCACCATCCGCAGCATCATCATAATCAGCAGCAGCATCATCATAAGCATCATCATCAGCATCATTAGCATCACCATCCGCAGCAGGAGCATAATCACCACCACCATCATCGTCATCATCCTCGTTTTTCCCACCCACCACAGCCACCACTATCACCATCAATAGCATCATCACAACCATCAGCATCAGCAGCAGCAGCATCATCGCCAGCATCGCCAGCATCGTCAATCATCAGAATCGCCATCATCAGCAGCAGCAGCATCATCATCATAATACGAATCATCATCATTTACCGTATCATCAACATCATTTGCATCATCCGCAGCCGCATCATCAATATCATAATCATCAGAATTCCTGCTCGCTCCTCTTCCTCCCTCTCCTCCTCCACCTTCTCCTCCTCCTTGTTGCCTTTCCTCCTCCTCCTCCTCCTCCTCCTCCTCCTCCTCCTCCTCCTCCTCCTCCCTTTCCTCCTCCCCTCCCTCTTCCCCCTCCCCCTCCTCCTCCTCCTCCTCCTCCTCCACTTCCTCCCTCTTCTCGTTGCTCATTATCCTCCTCCTCATCATCCTTTTCCTCCTCCTCCTCCTCCTCTTCCTCCTCCTCCTCTTCCTCCTCTACCTCCTCGACCTCTTCCTCCATCTCCTCCGCCTCGCTGTTCCTCGCAGGCCCCGTGCCCGGCGGGCGCGCCTGCTCCAGCTCCTGGCTCATCCGCCGCCTCACGGGGCAGCCGCGGGACTCGGCCTGGGCGCGGCGACGGCCGCCGACCCCCCTTTTCGCGAGCCACGCCTCGCGAGCCACGTCGGCGCGGGAAGGAGGAGGCACGAGGACGAGGGACCAGTGCAAACCCAAGACGCATCGACGATGTTGGAGTTAACCTTCCCTCCAAAATCCCCCTTGTCACGGGCTCTTTACAAGAATTCCCGTTAAGAAACAACCGCTTGAAGATCCTTAAGCGTGCTAAAACATCAGATCCGGGACTCCAACGCCACGAATCAACCTGGCTGTTGCGTCCTGGCGACCCTTAACCGTGCCAGGGCCTATGTAGCCCTGCGGATAGCATCGTAGAAGCGGTTTTTGGCAGCCTCAGAATCGAGAGGGCCAGGGTCAGGAGCCGCGCGCACAACATTGTACATGCGATAAGCACGCACAGTCCGATCAACCTCTTCAGGAGACGGCGCCCCAGAGAGGCCTACGCGAGTGGCGAAGCACGCAGGGGGCCCGGCAGGGTGGCACACAAGGCCCCACAAAACTGGACAACGAACGTAATCATACACGACATCACGGCTGTCAACACAAAGGAATCTACAGCCTCGAACGTCGGAACTATGTAGACGTGCACTCGTGAGCCTGGCCCCTCCTACTCTTTTTAGGACAGCACTTTGCTACGAGGGCTGGCCACCATCCTTAAGGAGGTCCTTGAGGGGAGGGGCCAACTCTGGACATCAAAAACAAGAGGTGAGGCGTTTCGAGATCGTGTCCTGTAGGACATCTGGGAAGAGTGACGCACGGAGGGGGGGAGGAGAGAAGCCTCTGGACACGCACCCTCCCTGACCCAGACTGGTCCTCGAGGGCTGCGAGGGCGCAGGCGGCAGCCTCAGAAAGCTCATGGGTGCCAAACTGGCCGCGTGAGGCCGCCTCCACGTGTATGACCAGCGGCGTCGAGCGCCAGAAGAGCGGCGAAAGGCGCCCGCCACCGACCACCACCAGGGCGCCGCGCTCCTCGACCATCGCTTTGAGCTTGGCCAGGAGCGGCTTCCAGGTCGCGAGGGTCGAGAGGGCCGCCCGCATGCGCGACGCCATGCTGAGCACCATCATGCTGCTGGGGCGCAGCGCTGACCACGAAGCAAGGCCCGTGATGGCGCGCTTCGGGAACGACTGAGGTGGAGGTACCAGACGTTGTGCCACGCCTATGCCTCTTTTCGGTGCAGCGAAGGCGGCAATGGGGCAAGCTGCATGATGTAGCCCACCACCGACAGCACCCCTCGAATTGTAGATGACGGTGGAGATGTGCACTGGGCCCCAGTGCACATCTCCACCGTCATCTGGGGTCCCAGCACGAGCAAGCTCACAGGCTCGGTGGATCCATTTGGCCCCAGGCTTCTGCCACAGGATGTCTGTTGTGGCCCCTGGCCCCAGACTGACCCCGGGGTACTCGGCGAAGGGCACGATGTCCATGGAGCGCCAAGAGGGCACCGCATCCACGAGCCAGCGGCGAGTGGCATCAGCGACATCAGGGCAGAAGGGCCGCTGAGGGGGGTGACCTTGCACTTGCGGAGCCTCACGGAGAGCCCCGCAAGGACCTCGGCAGCTCTGAAGACGCGCCAGAGCCGCTGCAAAATGCGGCGGTCCTGCACGACGACCCCCACGTTGTCCGCGCAGACTCCCAGCGCCGAGGAGGCATAGGAGCTGATGATGGACTCCACGTGCAGCACGAACGGGTTCATGGCGACGGCCCACAGCGAGCCGCTGAGCGGGCACCCCTGGGCGATGCCAGCGATGACGTGCATGAAGTGTGTGAGGACGCCCTCGACGACGACGAAGGCCGCAGGCAGCCAGTACATGCGCATGATGAGCTGGTAGAGCCCCCCATCGAAGCCCGCGTGCAGAAGGGTGCCCTGGAGAAACGAGACCACGAGCGACGGGAAGGCGTTCCCGAAGTCGAAGAGGACCATGAGTGGCTGCATGGCGTCGGCATGCTCGGAAAGGCCGACGATGCGGGCGTAGGTGTCGAGTGCCGTGATATTGTCCAGGAAGTTGCGGCCAGGGAGAAATCCTCGCTGCGCCGCCGGCGAGGAATGCTCGATCGGGAACTTGATGTGGTTGCTGCAGCTGGCGGCGAACATATACATATATACAGATTCTCATACGCACCTCTCCGAAGGAGTAGAGCTCAGAGGCGATTAATGCGCACGCGTCCGCGATTTTTCTGGGCGTTTCGCTCGGGACATCCTCGAATTTCTGAAAATCGGTGGCACCCCTCACGCAGATCGTGACGTCAGGGTCCAAAAACACATGGGAATTTCAACATTTTAACATAACACCTTCAAAAACACATGGTAATTTCAATAATTGTGACCCCGATTCTCAGGGAATGGCGGTTTCGTTTGAAAAATCCTTCCAAAATCAAGCCCCAGACCCCGCCTCGGAGCCTCCTGGGGGCCTCCTGGAACCTCCTGGGGCCTCCTGGGGCTTTCTGAACCTTCTGGCACCCCAGACCCCGCCTCGGAGCCTCCTGGGGGTCTCCTGAAACCTCCTGGGGCCTCCTGGGGCCTCCTGCGGCCTCCTGGAGCCTCTTGGGGCCTCCTGCCTCCTGGGGTCTCCTGGGGCCTCCTGAGGCCGCCTGGGGCTTCCTGGGGCCTCCTGGGGCTTCAGAACTACATGCACACAGAGATAAAAATCACGCCCAACACATCACACGCTAGACAAACATAACACACACACACACACACACACTCACACACACACAACCTACAACACACAAAAAGCACGCACCACACAAAGCATACATCACACACACACACACACACACACACACACACACACACACGCACAACACTCACAATCCTGGGGCCTCATGGAGCCTCTTCTGGTATCCAAGTCGGGCCTCCTGAGGCTTCCTGGGGGGTCCTGGTACCCCATCGCAAGGTGTGGCAACCCCACATCGCAAGGTGTGACACACTCGCCGTCCTGGACAAGACAGACGAGAGCTTGGTGAACGTTCGCGATTTTCCCAACCCTCCTTGGTTGGGTATTCGTTTTGAATAGAGCACTGCGGTCGCGTCTTCTCCTTTTCCTCCTCCCGCCTCCCGCCTCCCGCCGTGCGCGTACCTCTTGTGTGTGCATCTTGCCTGCGGTACCTCTTGTGTGTTCATCTTGCATGGGGGCTGCGATCTGCGAAACTGTCGCCACTTTCGAGGGCTGCTGGGGGGGCCAGCATAGTGGGTGGCCGCCGCAGACCCAAATTAGACCTCGCCATCCCTGGGGGGCTGCGATTTGCGAAGCTGTCGCCACTGTCGAGGGCTGCTGGGGGGGCCAGCATAGCGGGCAGCCGCCGCGGGCCCAAACTAGACCTCGCCACCCCTGGGGGGCTCCGATTTGCGAAGCTGTCGCCACTGTCGAGGGCTGCTCGGGGGGCAGCATAGTGGGTAGCAGCCGCGGACCCAAACTAGACATCGCCATCCCTGGGGGGCTGCGATTTGCAAAACTGTCGCCACTGTCGAGGGCTGCCGGGGGGGGGAGCAGCATAGTGGGTAGCCGCCGCGGGCCCGAACTAGACCTCGCCATCCCTGGGGGGCTGCGATTTGCGAAGCTGTCGCCACTGTCGAGGGCTGCTGGGGGGAAGGCATAGTGGGTAGCCGCCGCGGGCCCAAACTAGACCTCGCCATCCCTGGGGGGCTGCGATTTGCGAAGCTGTCGCCACTGTCGAGGGCTGCTGGGGGAGCAGCATAGTGGCAGCCGCCGCGGGCCCAAACTAGACCTCGCCACCCTGGGGGGCTGCGATTTGCGAAGCTGTCGCCACTGTCGAGGGCTGCTGGGGGGGGCCAGCATAGTGGGTAGCCGCCGCGGGCCCAAATTAGACCTCGCCATCCCTGGGGGGCTGCGATTTGCGAAACTGTCGCCACTGTCGAGGGCTGCTGGGGGAGACAGCATAGTGGGTGCCGCCGCGGGCCCAAACTAGACCTCGCCATCCCTGGGGGGCTGCGATTTGCGAAGCTGTCGCCACTGTCGAGGGCTGTTTGGGGGGACAGCATAGTGGGTAGCCGCCGCGAACCCAAACTAGACATCGCCACCCCTGGGGAGCTGCGATCTGCGAAACAGTCGCCACTGTCGAGGGCTGCCGGGGGGGGGGCAGCATAGTGGGTAGCCGCCGCGGGCCGGAACTAGACCTCGCCATCCCTGGGGGGCTGCGATTTGCGAAGCTGTCGCCACTGTCGCGGGCTGCTTGGGGGGCAGCATAGTGGGTTCCCGCCGCGGACCCAAACTAGACCTCGCCATCCCTGGGGGGCTGTGATTTGCGAAGCTGTCGCCACTGTCGAGGGCTGCTGGGGGAGGCAGCAGAGTGGGCAGCCGCCGCGGACCCAAAGTAGACCTCGCTATCCCAGGTGGGCTGCGATTTGCGAAGCTGTCGCCACTTTCGAGGGCTGCGGGGGGGGCAGCAGAGTTGGCAGCCGCCGCGGACCCGAACTAGACCTCGCCATCCCTGAGGGGCTGCGATTTGCGAAACTGTCGCCACTTTCGAGGGCTGCTGGGGGGGCCAGCATAGTGGGTAGCCGCCGCAGACCCAAATTAGACCTCGCCATCCCTGGGAGGGCTGCGATCTGCGAAACCGTCGGCCAGTTAGTGGGTAGCCGCCGCGGACCCAAATTACTCCTCGCCATCCCTGGGGGGCTTCGATGTGCGAAACTGTCGCCACTTTCGAAGGCTGCTTGGGGGGCCAGCATAGAAATCTGCGAAACGCAGATCTGAGCAAAACCTCGCCGTCCCTGGGGGGGCTGCGATCTGCGAAACCGTCGCCACTTTCAAGGGCTGCTGGCGGGTCCAGCGGAATGAGGCACCGCAGCGGGACCTCGCCCTTGGGGGGCTGCGTAGTGCGAAACCGTCGCTACTTTCGAAGGCTGGTGGCGGGTCCAGCGAAGTGAGGCACCACGCAGATCTGAGCGGGACCTCGCAATCCCTGGGGGGCTGCGAGCCTCACGAATGCCGCTCGCTGAAATGTGTGCGCACATGTCACGTCATCACCTCCGCATAACGTATCCCAGGCTACTCATGCCCCGCATTGCGCAGGGGTTGGGTACGTCGCCAGGGTAATTTGTGTGGCTAGAGGGCTGTGCGGAGACTTCACTGGGAACGCGTTGGAAAGATGTTCAGCACGCCACGAAACGCGGTCTGCAACGATTTGGGTGTGGGGGACCCAGCTGCCCTAGTCTGATCCTGCCACCGTGCTGGGTTTGGGGGCGGAATCCTCTTCGATGGAAGTGGGAGCATCAAGGAAAATACCTTTTCAGGGACCTCCACGAAGTTCTTCGGGGCCTCGAAGACGCCTCTTGGAAGCCTCTTGGAGACCTCCGCAGGCTTTCTGGCGGCGCCCACGGGGACTTTGGGATTCTGGCGTAAGGAAGGTTCGGAGGAGAGCCACCCGTTTCAAGTACCTTGAATCGTTCCGAAGGGGGATGAGGAGGAGGATGAGGGCGGAGGAGGAGGAGGATGAGGGCGGAGGATGAGGAGGAGGAAGAGGAGGAGGAGGATGAGGAGGATGAGGAGGATGAGGAGGAGGAGGAGGAGGAGGGCGGAGGAAGAGGAGGAGAAAGAGAAAGGAGGACGGAGTCGGACCCGGCGGTAGAGCCGCCGGTGCCGCCGCCGCCGCCGTAGCGACAGTGCTGGTGTGGTGCTGTCAGGTTGCTGTGGTGCCTCGGCTGCCGGGGTATCTGCCGGGACTTCTCGCGTGCCCGCTGGGGTCAGGTGCATCTTCACGCGTGACTTTTTCGGGCCCAGGAGGGCCCCAAGACGGGTCGAGAGGGCCTCAGAGGCCGTTGGGACGGCCCAAGAGGGCCCCAAGACGCCCAAGAGGGCCCCGAGACGGGCCAAGAGGGCCCTAAGAGGCATCTAAGAGGCCTCCCCAGAGAACCCCAAGAGGCAAAAATCATTCACTTGCCTTGGGTTTTTGAAGATGTTTGGCCTTCTCGCCTTTTCAGCTTCCCGACGCTCCAAGACAGGCCAAGAAGCCCCCAAGATCGCACAATGACGGCCCAAGAGGCATCCAAGAGAGACCCAAAACGGCCCAAGAGGGCCCTAAAACGGCCCCAGAGGATTCCAAGACGGCCCGAACGGCCCCTAAGACGGCTCCAAGAGGGGGCTCACATGGGAGATCCGAACGGACGGTTCAAGCCCTCGGCCCCGAGGAGCCCTCAGGAGGCCCCAAGAAGCCCTTGACAGGCCCTCCGAGGCCCCCGAGAGGCCTCCAAGAGGCCCCAAGAGGCCCCCAAGAGGCCCCCAAGAGGCTCCCAGGAGGCGCCAGAACTGCCAAAGAGGCCCCCGAGAGCGCTCCGAAGAGACCCCAAGAAGCATTCCCAAGAACTCTGACCCACAACCCAGGCACGGTGGCGGGATGGGCCGAAGGCCATTAGATACATCAACATATATCCCCCAAGCAGTGCTTGCCCTGAAAGGTCCTTGCTTTTGGTTGACCCCAAAGGGGGTCCAGCTTTAAGGGGGTGGTGCAATAGATTTGGGGCAATTGAAATGCAAACGTATTGCGCCGGATAATTGTATTGCATCAGATTGCAGCTAATGCATTGCACGCGAAAGTCCAGCAATACATCTGCGCACCAGAATGTATCGCACGGCCCAATTCTGTGGCAACCCCGCAACTATATATTGCACCAAATCTAGTGCACCACCCTCTTTTCGCTGGACCCCGTTTTGGGTCAACCAGATTTACTTTGGCTCTGGAGTTCGGCGGCGAGCCCAGAGGGGAAGTGAGAAGGGGCGGATCTTCTCAGAATGCTCGGAGGTCCCCCGGCCTTCTGCGAGGCTTTCTAAGCCTTCGCCGAAGACAAAAAAAACTTCTCAGAAGGCGAGAGGGCTCCAGAGAAGTCCCGACGCCTTCTGAGAAGGCCTTCTCCTTCTTACTAGGGAGCCCACAAAGGACGTACGCG